GTGTGTGTGTGTGTATGTGTGTGTGTGTGTATGTGTGTGTGTGTATGTGTGTAAAGGCTTCTGTGAGCCAATACGCTCACAAGAAAAAATGAGCCCAATGGCCTCACAAGAAAAAATGGGTCCAATTGCTTAGATTGAATCTAAGCCGATCTAACGATCACGGATGCCTGATAGTGTTTGCATTTTAATTATTATTTTCTTCGAATATAAATCACTTGAAATTGTAGACGTGTGTTAATAAAAAAATAGATGAATATTTAAAAAATGTTAAAAATATATTTTACATGAAAAAAAGACCAAAATACCCCCTATAAATTTTTAGGGGTATTTTGGTCATTTTTAAGTTTATGGATTGTTTTTTTATATATTTCTATTAGGTACAGCTTGATAAGAAGAATATCCACCTAAAATTTCAAATGATTGGGATTTGTAACAAAAAAAAATTAAAATTCAAACACTCTCACCCGTCAGATCGGCCTAGATTCAATCTGGGCCATTGGGCTTATACTATTATGTGAGCTAGTGGGCTCACCTTAGTATCTTTCATATATATATATATGGGTGCGACTTGTATAGAGCCGAGGCTCTAAACAATCAAATTAGAGCCTAGCTTTAAATAGTGTTGAGAAATGTAGTTTTAATACTGAAAATCTTTGTGATAGCCTTAAAATATATTTCCATCTCTAATTATAAAATTTAAAGCTTAAAAAATAGTGTAGATAGAGCATATCTATGAAAACTTGAAAATCTTAAAAATTGACGGTCCAAAAATGCGATACAAGATGCACTATTTCCAAAACTTAAAATCCATTTCTTTCTCATGTTGGTGCATCTTGATATCGAGATGATCAATTTGAGGATATTTGGGCATCAAAACAACCTCTTCTAGTGAAATTTTTTTGGTAGGCTCTAATTTGATTGTTTAGTGCCCGAGCTCTATATAAACTTTTCATCTGTTGGTTCTTTATAGTTTCCTTGATGATCTGAAAAAACGTCCCTGATAGTTACGCTGATGATCTGAAACAATTTTCAGATGTTGTCTCTTTATAACAATCACTACAACTGTATCAAATGAGGTCAGAATAAATTTGTCTCCGGTCAAAATATGAGGATTCAGATTGATTACTACTTTTAGCTTCAAATCCACTTCCGTCACTTTGATCCACTCTTTACCTTCGCTCAGCACCCAAATCAGTGCTTAAGAATAGCAAGTCGAGTATCCCACTCTCGAATCATACACGAATGGTTGGGAAGCGAAATATTTTTTCATTTTTTATTCACTATATCCCTCCAAGGCTCAATATCTTTGCATCCCATTAACCCAATTCAAATTATTTTCTTACCCCCTACAAGAATCATACATCCAAAACAGTTCGGAGCTTCTGCGGTGCGTCCTCCTATGCACACACCAATATCTTAAAATTACCAATATCTTAAAATTAAGCTTAATGTGGTCGAAGTTGGACCCAAAACCATGATAGTAAGGAGCAGGATGGAACATGGTGGCAATTTTTTTTTTAACTAGCGGGTTTCCGATGATAAATTTTGTAGTATTGCAGTCGCACACAATTCCATGGTGTGAGGTTATTATTGAGTTATTTTTACACTGAAATTGTGGAGGAAAATAGGTGGAAGGACGAGAGAGGCTAACCGGGTACCCAGCTCTCACCCTGACAGCTGCTTAAGACTTGGGCCTGCGGGTACCCAACTCTCACCCTTGGACAGCCGCTTAAGGCTTGGGCCTCACA